CGACCTTATCACCCCTGGCATTAAGGATATGGGGCAGTTCAAACTCAGACCCTGGCAAAAGGGTTCAGCCTGAGGATTTAAGGATGGAAAAAATAGTGTTTTCACTGTAGTACTAACTCATCAGTAATTTTTTATTGTTCATATTCTGCTTGTTGTATCCTTTCACTGCTGGAGCCTTTTCTTTCTCTCTTTTCTTCTTCTCTTTCTTTTGCTTTCTCTTTCTCCCCTTGTTTTTTTCTCTCCTCTCTTTCTTTCTTCCTCTCTTTCCTTTTCTTCCTTCCTTCCACCCTTCTGTCCTTTTCCTCTTTCTTTCCTTTCCTTCCTTTTTCCTTTTTTTTTTTTGTGAATGTGGGTGTCTCTGTACAATCTGTCCAAATATTTACAAAAGGAAATGCTGGGTTGTGAAACTGAATTCGGAGAAAATGTTACACATGCTGAAGAAATGCATCCAGCACAGTTTCCAAATTTTCCCACATGCATTTTTGTTCTCTGTCTCAAGTCTCAAGGCTTGATCTTGCATATCTTTATTCAGGCAAAACACACGCTGAGGGCAGAGAGGCACAGGCTCGGGTCATCTCCGACGGCGCTGTAATCCAGAGTTTTCTGGAACGTTTCAGGACTGATTTTGGCCATGGGTGACCAGTTCCAAAGCCTGAATAACCAGTTTTACTGGGTAATCAGTTTGTGCAATGGGCCAATTGCAGGCACGGAGTTATCTAACCTTGTCCCCAAGTTGTTAATGAATTGGCCTCAGTGCCAGTCCATGCAGAGGCCGTCTGCAGATCTCCACCGTCTTCACAGCTAAACATCAGCCAGGCTGGACTGGGAGACCTGCAGGCTCCGAGAAAAGCTCTGAGGGCTCCTGTCCCACTGAGACTGAGAGAAAACACTCAACAATGACCTTATGGAAAGGGGGTGAAGTCGTTTTCCCAGGAAGCGGGAAAATCCTGTGGAGCTCTCATGGCATTATAGGCTTGTGAATACTCTGGCAGAGCAAGGGGGGAGCTGCAGCCCCCCAGGCCAGCCCTAAAGGGGCCGGGACCCCAGCAGCAGGTCCCCACCTGCTAAAATAAAAGCCTCGCCTCCCACCTCCACACCCAGGGCGCAGCACTTCATGCTGCTGTTTCTATTATTATTCGTACAATGACATTGTGGCCTGAATGCAAACACGGATTTGTTTTGGAGGAAGGGGTTAATTTTGTATTTCCTGGCTTTTGTTAACATAGGAAATCAAACCCTTAAGAAAGTCGTTCAGGTCAGCCTGAGCTCCTGTAAGTCACTCTAGTTTTGTGTTGTGTTTTCCTTTCTTTCATTTTTATAGCACCTTAGTCAAACAAAGAAGGAAAATAGAGTAAAGCAAGGAAATAACTAGTCCAGCATTATAAGCGCTTAAGAACACACTGCCCCATGTAATGATTTTTTTTTCTTTCTGATTTGCAGCGGGTGTAAATAAAACCAGATTAAAGAGTCTCATAATTACATGACAAACCTATCAAAGAGCAATTACTGCCATCGCGTACGTTGCGGGTGCAGGCTCCCCTCCCCTAAAGGCATCATCTGAACGTCTTCCCTGCACGGCCTCAGAACAGCCAAGGTATCTTGCCCTTATTTAACGTTTGTATAATGTTAGTTGGCAACACAACTGGAAAGGTTGTTCTTATCAGGAGCGCTTTCTCAGTTAGCCATGCAGATGGCGGATACGGCACTTACTTTAATCTTGGGGAAAACTGAAGCTGCCAAACGGGGAAAAAATATGCCTCTTAGTTTTGTTTTGTGTGGGACACCAAGAAGAAGTTGGGACAACAGGAGAGAACATTGTCAGCCGCTCACAGTCACTTGTGCCTGTGAGCCAGGCTGGCTCTCTGCCGACAGGGAACGGGGGCTCAGCACCGTTGGAAATAGTGTCTTCCCATTAAGGCATTCAAGGGAAGTCGTCCAACCCGCGCTCCTGGTGCTGGAGCGTGCAGGCCTTCGGGCTTGCGGCAGGAGCTCAGCACCCTGGTGACACCCGTCGCTGGAGGACGGTGCCTCTCCCAGCTCGCCAAGGCCTCGCGGCTGCAGCCGGGCGCCGTTCCTCACCTCCCCGAAGCTGCCGCGGGGCCACGACCGCTCCCGCCTCGCTCTGTAGCGGAGCAAGGTGAAGCGAAGCCTCCGTGTGAGTTTACAGAGAGGTCACAGTCTGATGTCAACCTAGGGGAATCCTCTCTAGGAGAAGGTGACGAATAAAGCCCAGTGTAGTGGTCCTCTGCCGTACGGGACGCTGCGGCAGAGAGTTGGCCGTCAGTCGACCGCGGCTAATTCCTCCTGCTCGGTGGCCCGGAAGGAGAGCGCTGGAGGCTGCTGTTCGGACATCGCCTGGGAGGTGGCCAGAGCTCGGCCGTGAGCCCTCGCT